AAATACAGACACACAAGAAAAAACCTGTTAAAAGAAATTCTTGAAACTTCTTCTGGAACATAAAGAAATAGAGAACAGACATAAGAACAGAAATCTAAAAGTATGTTTTTGAAAACTTTTGTGCCAACTGTTTAAATTATAGATTAACCAACAAGAAACCCAAAATTTGTTTAAGAAAACTTTTTTGTTGTTGTTTTAGTGAAGAAAGAAAGAAAAAAAAAGAACAAACGAAAATAAAATTTAACAAACTGTATTTTTAGTTGCATGTTTTCATCAAGGCAAAACAGTGGAACCTCTCACTTGAGGACAATTTTTAAAGGAGGCTAAACGAGGCCAATTCAGTTGGTTTATGAACTCTAACCCAAAGGTCCACAAATACGAATATGTCCCCTTGAAGACGGTTCTACTTTACATGTTTCTCTTTTCATTTGTCACATTTGCATTTGTTTTTCCGTCATTCCATGTTTTCTGTTATTAACAGAGCCGAAAACAAAAAAAAAACCAAATCGAAAATAATTCAATTTTCCAAACATAACTACATTTGTAGCCAAGCAACAACTACTACCACAATTGTAACTCAAAACATGTATACAAACATCCGAGTTGTCTTTTTTTCCTTCATCTAGGCTAACAAATTTTATTTATGTAAATATTTATAGGAAACTTAATAAACAAAAAAAATATATATATTTACAATTTTTTTTCTCCCACATTTTTTCTTCTATAATTTCCACCAATACCGAACATATTGTTTCACCTTTTATATTGTTTCAATTCTGGTTCATTTGATTTCATCCATAACTGTTTTTTTCGAAATTGTACGATATTAATTAGTATGTATTTAGTAAATAATTGAAATAAATTAAAAATATTAAAAGAAACATTTATAAAAAAAACCCGCACTGAATCAAATAGATGAAATAATAAAAGAAAAGAAAATCAACAACAAAAAAGCAAAAAAAATAAAACAGAATAAAAAGTAAATTGTATGAAAACTGAAAGACCGAAAAAACAAACAAATAAATTAAAAATAATAAAATAAAGAAACAAATTAAATAATTATAAAAATTAAATGAATTGTGTTTTATTGATGTGTTGCTGCTTTTTGCATGGATGGGGTGGTGGCGGTTTTTTAATGGAGCAAAAATGTATGTCCTTGGACGGGAAATTTAAATTACAAGATAATTATACTTAACGCATCATTTTAACAATGGATGGCAATGCATCTATTGTTCGGGGGACGGTGATAGTAAATTCTTTGTGGGGATGAAATTTCACTTGGTGAGTATATTCAGAAGTTGAAATGTATTCAGGCACCACAAGGACAAATTCTTACGAATTTAACCATGAATTTAACTTAATCGTGTGTGTGGAATGGTAATGCTAAAAAAGGAGAATGGCTTGCAGAAGCGACCCACGATGGTGAGTCTTTTATCCTGGTCAAAATTCTGTAACTTCGGAACGGTTCGAGATAATTTTATACTTTTGGTTACATAAGCAACATATTTTCTTCGAATTTTGGTGCCCGCTACTTTGAAAAGTCCACTTTAACATTTAAGATTCGTTGCAGCAGCTCGTCTTAGGCCTTTTTATACCCTCCACCATACATAGTATGGAGGGTATATTAAGTTCGTCATTCCTCTTCGTAACTCATCGAAAAAATAACTTTAGTATATATATTCTTAATCACCTTAACATTCTAAGACGATTTAGTTCTGTCCATCCGTCCGTCTGTGTGTCTGCTGTAATGACGCTAGAGTCAAAACGAACTAAGATAGGAAGCTAAAATTTTGCACAGATAAGTCTTTTGTCGACAGGCATGTCAAGATAGACTATATAGGTCCACGATATCGTATAGTCCCAATACTAAAATACCCCCCGATATTCGGTATTTTGATGATTGCAGCCAAATTGTTCAATGGAATGGTCTGGAACTGTATACACGGAGTTATTTATGAGCACTTTACCCCTTGGCAGAGAATTTTCTATGTAGGTCAGCGCTATCGTATACCCCCCATATAACGGCACCTTCCGATATTCGGAATTTTGATGATTTTAGCCACATTTTTCAATCGAATTGTCTGAAAATCCACACAAGGACTTTCTTTGGCATACTTTATCCCCTGGAAGAGAATTGTCCACATAGGTCCATGTTTCAGTATAGAACACATATAACGGTACCTCCCGATATTCGGTATTCTGATGATTTTAGCGACATTATTCACCGGGGTTGTTTCAAATTTCGTATGTGAAGTTCCTAATGGGTACTACAACCTATGACAGAAAATTGTCTATGCAGGTCCAGGTCTTCGTATAGCCCTCAAATAACAAAATCTCTCGCCGTTCGGTATTTTGATGATTTTAGCGACATTATACACCGGAATTTTTTTCAAACTTGGTATTTGAAGTTATTAATGGGTGCTACAACCTATGACAGAAAATTGTCTATGCAGGTCCGGGTCTTCGTATAACCCCTTATATAACGGTACCTCCCGATATTGGGTATTTGGATTTTATCGACATTATAACCGATTTCTTTTTAAGTTTCGCATTTGAATATTGTAATGGCTTATGACAAATGTTACCTAAGCAGGTTCATGTTGTCGTATAGACCCTAATATAATAGCTACATTCGGTATTTTTAAGATTTAAACAAATGTTTTAACGGATATTATTGTTTTTGAGAATTGTCAAATTCATTCCAAATGGTGGAGGATATCGAAAGTTCGGCCCGGTCGAACTTACAGCTTTTTTACTTGTTTCATATTATATTTAATCTAAATAGGCTTGTTGATGAGTTTAAAGATTGACCTGCGATTTGAAAACCCTTTAAGGGATTTGCTATTATTACCCAATAGGATTCCTCCACTTTGAATTTCTCAACCACCCCCTCCCTCCGACACAATTGGTGATGGACATGGACTTGCGGGGTACTATTGTGTGGGTAGCATATCAAAATATATACCTATGTCGAAATTAAGATTGATCTCTACCCTTAAAACTAGCCTAAATTTTTTGCCAAGTCGGTTGGAAATGTGGTCAAGACTTTCGAAATAGGCAATATCAACGGGTACTTTTGTATGGGTACTACTCCGAAACATTGACCTACATTGAATATTTTCTGCGTAGAATAGATTTTGAATATTTTTGTTCCCTCTTCAAAACCAATATGTCAAAAAGGTCCAATTCTTAATATGCATTTCACAACAATGATATTTTGGTGCCAGATGTCAGATGCAGTTCACAAATAACCCTGAGCGGTTCAGGTGGATATAGCTTCCATATATATCTTTATCCAATTTCACGTTAATTGTACGTCAAATGTGTGGTATCCGCCAAAATTGGATATATTTATAGCAAATAGGAAATGCTATGTCGACTTAGCAATGTCCGTCCCTAATTGTTTCAAATTTCGTATTTAAAGTTCATATGACAGATAATTGCATATATAAGTCCAAGTCATCATATAGCCCCGATATAACGGTTCCACCCTATGTTCGGTATTTTGGTGATTTCAGATACAAAATTCACCGCAATTATTTAAAATTTCATATTGAAAGTTCCCTAACAGGTCCAGGTCTTCGTATAGCCCCTAAATATCGGTACCATCAGATATTCGGTGTTTTGATAATTTTAGCAATATTATTTTCCGGAATTGTTTTAAATTTCATATTTGCACCTCGTAATGGTTACTACAGCCTGTGACAGAAAAATAACGGTAACCCCCTATATTTGGTATTTTAAAGAATTCAACAGAATTGTTAACGGATTCTATTCCGTCTATCTGTCCATGTATTCTTGTGACTAAATGCAGGTCGCATTTATTATCCGATTGAGATGAAATTTCGCAAACAATATTTGCTTGACTCAAGAACGAATCCTATTGAAATAGGTGAGAATCGGTTCAAACGGAAATATGACGTCCATATATATCTTTATCCGATTTCGTGTTAATTCGGGTTAGTATCAGTCCAAATGACATGCATTTTGGCACATCCGATTGAATTCAGACTAGAAATAAGTACATCAAATCAGCCCAGAAATACCTCTGCCAAATTTTCTAAAGATAGCTTCAAATTTAGATATAGCTCCCATATATATTCTCAATCGATTTCGGGTTAATTGTGCACTAAATGGCCAATATAGTCCAAATGACCTGAGTTTTGGCACATCCGACCGAATTCAGTCTAACAGCAGCTACATAGAATTCGGTTCAAACATAGCTATAGCTCCCATATATAGGTTTCATCCGTTTTCGTGTTTAAGTCCCTAACATGCGTAACTTGCACTCCACAACAATGATATTTGATACCAGATATCCTATAGAGCTCGGAAATAACTTTGCAAAATTTTATCGAGGTCTGCTGAGATTTTGATATAGCTCCCATATATATCCTTATTCCGATTTCCGGTTTATTTTGCAAATAATGGCTAAAATGAGATAAATTATTTCCTATGGAAAAGTTTATCTTTTGCTTGGGAAGTACCCGATATGAGGGTACTTCTCCAAAGCTGATGGAAATTTGGTAAAAATATTGCTATGTACATAGTTTCAACTGCTACCACCAACTAGGTAGACAGACGGAGGAAGGGACACTGATCTAGTGTAATGACCTTCAAAGAGACTTAGGGTTTAAAAACCTAATTTCTTTGAGACCTATCTTAGCTGCATCAAATCATGTATAACTTCTGAAGCCGTATAATATTGAAAAAAAAAAAAAAAAAAAACAACAAGTAAAAATATAAATAAAATAATCAATATACCGAATATCAGGAAGTATTTTTATATTGTGGCTATAAGAAGAGATGGACCTGCATATGTAATTTTTTTGAAACAACTCCAGTCTACAATGTCCTTAAGATCATCCACATACCGATTATACCAAAAATATTTTTTTGCTACTTTCGGCCATGCATAGACAAACTTGTCATAATAATTTTATTTTCAAAATTTATTATTTTCAAAATAATACGTAAAATGTTTGAGTTTTTGTTCGAAATACGTAAAAGAAAATATGGAATTGTTAATATTATTTCGTGTATCCGTAATAACCATATTATTTGTCTTCATCTTTGTATTGCTGATTTTGAGAATGATGGAGCCATAATTTTGTAATATCTGGAATCCAATAACATTGCCTGTGAGCTGAAGGAAACGCGAATCAAAGCCAAGGTAAGTCCAAAATGAGATGTGGGAATTTGACTCAAATGGTTTATATGCAGCCCATAAAAAGTGCATCGAATTGTATTGAAAAGGAATATTTTTTATGACAAATAAATTTTCGAGATGAAAATTATGGGCATGTGTCTCTATGACGATGTGGCAGTTAACTCGGAAGAAAAACACCGATTCCAGGTGTATGTTTAAAATAAAAAAAAACTGAATTTTGAAAAAAAGAAGAAATTGTTGTTTTTCTTTCGAATTCACCTTCGAATTGTCAAGTACATGCCCATAATTTTCATCTCAAAAATTTTTCATTTTAAAAAAAATTCTTTTCTACGTGGATTTTTAATAAAAAAAAATAAAGAGCTTCTGACCAATAATGGTGGATTTCTAAACAGGTCAAGGTCTCTCTATACAAAAATCGCGTTTTTTACAATGTATCTGTAAAAAATATATTTAGAGCATCTACTAAACAAAACTTTAAAGTATTTTTTACATTGTCTTAATGATATTTTGTCATGTTACATAATAAATATAAAAATGTCTTTTGTTGAAAGACTCCCAATGAAACTTTATTTAGAAAAAAATTTTCCTTCGATACTTTTCCCAAAACATGAAGTGTTAAAGTAGGTTGACTTGAGTAAAAATTTAAAAAAAAAAAAAAAAACAAAAAAATAGGAAATATTTTCTCGATTTCCCTCAGTCATATGGCTAGGGTACTTATCATTTAATAAGACCAAATCGTGGTTCGATGAGGCACGTTAGACTCTAGGTCTCTTTGGACCAAATCTGTCCGTCTTTCTGGTTGGCTAATGCGCACAATAACTATTGAAGAACCAAACTTGGTTAGATTAGATCGAGTTCGGAGATGAGCAACATCGATCCACTCCTTCTAGTACCTCACCCACAAAAGATTAAATCTTTAAATCATCCTAGAAAACAGTACTTCAAGTCTGGTGAAAATCAGTTCAGATGTAGCTATACCTCCCATTTTTTGTTTCTGATTTGGGGTTGAAAGTCCCTCACACGCGTAACATGCACTCCACAAAAACGATCTTTGGTACCAGATATCAAATATAGCTCTGAAATAAGTGTTTCAAATTTTGTAAAGATCGTTTCATATTTGGATATAGCTCAAATATACATCTTCAATTGATTTCGGGTTAATTGTGCACCAAATGGCTAATATCAACATAAATGGACTGAATTTTGGCACTTCCGACGGAATCCAGCCCAAATGCAAGTACTTGAAATTTTTTTGAAAATCGGTTCAGATAAAGCTACAGCTCCCATATAAATGTTTCAACCGATTTGGTGTTACATTCCCTCACATGCGTAATGTGCACTCCACAATAATGATATTTGGTACCAGATATCTTATAGAGCTCGGAAATACCTCGGCCAATATGTTATCAAGATCGGCTACTATTTGGATATAGTTCCCATATATATGCTCAATCCGATTTCAAGTTTATTGTGCAAATAATGACTAATATCAGCCCAAATGGAGTAAATTTCGAGACGTACTTTCCCATTTAGTGGAACTCCGTTCCGATATACAGGGTGAGATGAAAAAACTGTAACCAACTTCAGACTGCTGTCATTTCTAAGCCACTCTTCCGACAGCTGTTAATATTATTCCAGTGACAGTTCATTATATTGTTTACAAGCGTACAAAAGCATTTCGGTGAGAACTTTCCAGAAATCAAGTTATTCGTGGTAGAATTCAAGCGTGATAGTGTGATTTCTTTATATTTGACTGCAATACCAAAATTGGCTATCGTTAGAGCACTAGCATTTTAATGTGGATAAATCTTTTGTGCCTCGTACCATCGCTCGTTACCTTGATACTGGTAGCGTAGCCCAGCGACGTCAAGGGAGTGGACGAAAGAAAACAGCAACATCAGCAGAAATGGTTCAAAAGTTAACAAGCGACTTGATCGAAACCCGCGTCGCAGTGACCGAAAAATGGCTCTTAAGCTAAATATATCGCAATATTCCATTCGGCAAATATTGAGAAATGAGTTCGGGGTAAAACCATTGAAATTTCAAAAAGTACAAGAACTTACACCGCAACAAAAAGAAAATAGACTCAAAAGAGCTAAAGAGTTGCTACGCTTGGCCGAAAGTGGTGAACTGCCGAATATGGTTTTCTCCGATGAGAAAACATTCGTTGTCCAACAGCTGGTAAACAAACAAATTGATCGTGTTTACTTGCCAAAGTGGTCAGCTGAAAATGTGCACTTTCGGTTGGCCACCAAGCGCCGGCAATGGTGATGGTGTGGGCCGCCATAACAGCTGATAATCGCTCTCCGCTCGTATTAATCGACTGTGGCATCAGAATAAATGCCGAATATTTTCGCGAAAATATTCTGGAGGGTGTATTTAAGCCTTGGGCACGCAAACATTTTGGCCGCAGACCTTGGAAATTCCAACAGGATTCAGCACAATCGCATTCAGCACGTGCCACCAAAGAATGGTTACAAAATAAGGTTCCTCGCTTCATTTCCAGCGCACAATGGCCACCAAAATCTCAAGGCAAGGTTGGCACTAAAATATACCAAAGTGTCTATTACCTCAAGGAAGCGCTTCGCCGGGAATGGACCAAAATACCGCAGTACCGCAGGGTTCATTGGCCTTTTGAATGCTATAATTCGAGCAAATCTAAATTTATTCTAAAATTTGATGCTATTACCGACAGTCAGTCAATATAATATTAAAAAAGAATTATATATTATATATATAATATTAAATTATATATAATATATATAATATTATATATATAATATTAAAAAAGAAAATGTAAAAATGTTGGCGTTTGACTTTGTTAATTCTTTTTATTTTTTTATTTAATTTTTATTATCTCACCCTCTGTATTTTTATATAATCCTACTCGAAGTAATATCATGCACACTATAGCAATGTTAGTTGGTATAAAAGATTATAATATCTCCGCCAAATTTAGTGAAAATCGGTTCAGAATTGAATATGCCTTCCACATATTAGTTCCCTCTGAAACCAAACTATAACTGATCTAAAGCCAAATGTTGATAGATTGTCAAATAATTTATTTTGTTACGGAAGCTCTACTCACAAAAAGGTATGGCTTGAGGGTTAAAATTCTCGACCAAAATATTCCTCGTATTGTTCTCTGCAATATTGCCGAAGACACCTAAACCCCACGGATTTCGAGGAATCCTAATCCAAAAAATTCCAAAAGTGGGGAGGGGATATATCCGCTCTTTTTAAGTCACTTTGCGATGTAAACTTTCAAAACGCCGATATATGTTCTTCTTCTTTTTAGCTCCACATTCATAATCTGCTATAATTTCCCTGTAATTATTTTTTTGTGTCGCACAGTGTTGTTATTCTAAAACTAATCGTTTTTTAAGAACAAACAAAATAACGGCTTGACCTATTATTTAGTAGATCATCAGTTAATCTACAAATTGAGTAACTTAATTATAACTGAAATATTCAAATCTGCCCCCAAAGCACCAAGAGCTCCCATTTTCAATATTTTGTCTAACATAACAAAAAAACAACGACAATAACAACAACAACAATTATGCATAGGAAAACATTGTTAAATTGGAAAATGTTGACTCTTAATAATTTGTAATTGTTATTGTTGTTGTCGTTGTAGTGTCAGAGTATTGCAACAACAACAACAACAAAACAAAACCGGCAACATGCAAACTCTAAACAAACTAATACACCGACTGACATATTTACATACCCACCTAGATACGAATGTACGTACGAGTGTAAAACACATTTAATAATAAAGTTAAATTGGAGTCAAGTGGTAATTTACAAATTGTAGGTAGCCGGCTACATGCATGTGTGAACGAACGAACGGACGAACGAGCGTATGTCAGTCTGTTTGTCACATTTTTTTTAAAAAATTATAATTTTTTTACACGGAATTTTATTTTTGTTTATGGGACAGTTTTTCTTCATAGTTGAAGTTTGTTGGTGTTACCCTATGGTGGAGGGTATATTAAGTTTGTGATTCCGTTTGTAACACCTCGAAATATACATTTTAGCATAGCAATTTGATAAGCATAAAATTCTATGTCGATTTAGCAATGTCCGTCCGTCTGTGAAAATCACTCTAGCTTCCGAACGAATTGAAGTAAATTGATAAAATGTTACTCAAATGTATATTTTGTCTGCAGGACTTTTGGTATTGAAAATGGGCTATGTAGGTCCACGTCTTCGTATAGGCCCCATATAACGGTACCTCCCGATATGCGGTATTTTGACGATTGTAGCCACATTATTTACCAGAATTGTTTAAAATTGGTATTTGAAGTTAGTAATGGATACTTCAGCCTATGACAGAAAATTGTCTGTACAGGTCCACGTTTTGTAGCCCCCATGGTACCTCCCGATATTCGGTATTTTTATGGTTTTAGCGACATTGTTTACCGGAATTGTTTCAAATTTGGTATTTGAAGTTCGTAGTAGATACTACAGCACAAGACAGAAAATGGGCTATGTAGATCCACGTCTTCGTATAGCCCCCTATATAACGGTACCTCCCGATATTGAGTATTTTGATGATTTTGGACTCATTATTTATCGGAACTATATCAAACTTGGTATTTGAAGTTCGTAATGGATTCTACATCCTAAGACAGAAAATTGGCCATGTAGGTCCACGTCTTCGTATAGCTCCCATATAATAGTGCCTCCCGATATTCGGTATTTTCATGATTTTAGCAACATTGTTCACCGGAATTGTTTAAAATTTGGTATTTGAAGTTCGTAATGGACACTTCAGCCTATGACAGAAAATTGTCTGTACAGGTCTACGTTTTATAACCCCCATGGTACCTCGCGATATTCGGTATTTTAATGGTTTTAGCGATATTATGTACCGGAATTGTTTCAATTTTGGTATTTGTAGTTCGTAATAGATACTACAGCCTAAGGCAGAAAATGAGCCATGTAGGTCCACATCTTCGTATAGCCCCCTATAAAACGGTACCTCCCGATATTGG